CCATATTGGATTTTTGCAAATTTTCATCTACCCAACCAACACATTTGGCACTCTTGTACCTTTTCCGGCTCAAAACAGTACCATGGCATCACGAATTTTTATAATACCTCATCTAGAATTAAAGATATGTCCAAATAGTTGTTGTAAAAATGTGCAAAACAGCCATTTTGAATATATGCAAATTAGGTATATTTCGGAAGCCTAGATTTTCCTAGACTTTTAGTATATCAATCTAGATACTTTTCCGAAAAGTACTGTGAAAAAAATTATTTCTGTTGCAAGTTGTGACGGGTTGGCCCCCTTTTTTGCTAGAATGACTGGACTATTTGAGGTATCCTCGTAATAACCTAATAGTATTTGAAATATTAAAAACAAGAACATGAATTGTAAACATTTTCATTTTATTTTTGTAGACAATTTCCCTCCTTCAGGGACTGCGTGTCGACGTCAATGGATCGCCAGTGACATTACCGTATTCATACGCAAACAGCGATCTCAGTGTAATTGTTAAAACAGCGGGAAGATACGTGGTATGTATCATAAAATAATGTTGTGATTTTACTTTGCTACTACTTCTTTACATCTTGGAAGTATGTAAGTGAGAACTTGCTTTGCTGTTGTTGTATTATTTGTGGAGTGTAATACGTAATGCTACTTGCAATAAAAACCCGTTCTAAAATGGGGCTGTCTTGTTCATAATTAAATATAATACACTTCTTAAGCACTGATTACACGTTGTTCTTTTTCAGAAATTGATCACTAGTTTTCAACTAGTGATATTATGGGACACCGTAGCGAATCTAGTTGTATACGTACCATATTCATATTCCAACAGCACATGCGGATTGTGTGGAACACTGAATTTCGACCCCAGGGATGATTTTATAATACCCGGAGGAAACCTTGTAAGTATTGTATTACGTGCGGTAATTTCTGAGCTGCCCCTTCAATACAGGATGCGCGATGTCCATCCTGTGCTTGGACCATTTTATTTAGAGTTATATAGTTCCATAATTTATTCGATCAAAATTAAACAATTTCTACCTAAAATTTGTCTAAGAATATGATAAATATATAACCTTTCTTCCTCGCCTGCGGCTCGGAGGAGTACGATCGCCAGACGGAGAGTCACTCGTTCGGCATTACTCTCTCGTGTGACGTCACCTTTGACTTGTGTTTCCTCGTATAACTATCCTTTCTCACCTGCGGCTCGGAGTAATACAGCCACAGGACGGAGAGTCACTCGTCCGCGTTGACGGCACACTCGGGGATTACAATGAATTATATTAATTGACCTTATTTTCACTATGCGGATTATGGCGTAATCTCGGGTTGTGTGTTCTCCACATCCACTGAGTCATATTGATTATTTTCTCTGCAGGTTGTCAATGTGACAACTTTCGGTGAAAACTGGATTGCCAATCAGAATGAGTGTACAGTTCCGACACCACCTGAAGAAAATCCATGTGATGTAGTTGAAGAAATGATAGTAGCAGAAGCTAATGAAAGCTGTCACGTCATACTGAACACCACAGGTAGAATTGTACTCCATTTTATTCAATAACGTATAATTAGTACAATTTAGTACACGAATTTACAAGTTGTTTTTTGTTCGTAGGACCGTTTGGTGGTTGTCATGAATTTGTTGATCCATGGCCATATTATGAAAGCTGTTTGTACGACATGTGTGCCATCCTTAAAGAAGAGTCGTTATGTGATGTCCTAGGGGCATATACTACCGAGTGTATGATAGCTGGTGCGCTGGTGCAACGTTGGCGAACAGACCAATTTTGTCGTAAGTTCATAGGTTTATTAATTACATTGAATAGTCGTGGCAATGTTATAGAATAGAACAAAAAATGAGATGGTTGAATACACAACGATGGACAACGATGAATATTTCATCTAGCTCTCTCATTGTACATTATGTAAAGGTCTTGACTGCCCAGAGAGAGCTATTTATACAAGGTCAGCGAGCGCCTGTCCAAATACCTGCATTGACACCAGCGCCAATCGAGCGTGTCAAGAAATGTCTCTAGAAGGCTGTGAATGCCCAGACGGAATGTTACTGGATGGAAGTAGATGTGTGACACCTTCTGAATGCGGCTGTAGGTATGAAGGACATATCTACCCAGTAAGTTTATATTTTTTATATTTTGTCATTCTGTATTTCATTAATTAAATATTTAAATTTGTAGTGAGACCACGTGGTAGTGATGATTAAAGCTTTTTTAAATCTATATATTATTGATCTATTATGATTACGACACAGAAATATATTTACATATGATTACCATGACTTTTGTAGAGACGATGTACTGGTTTTATTTGTTAACACACGTATATTTTATTGAATCCAACGCAGATTAATACTGTATTTGTACGTGAAGATTGCACTCACACCTGCACATGTACGTCAGACAGACGAGTTGTGTGCGAACCACTTGAATGTCACGCCGATGCAGTATGCCAGAGGGATGCGACTCAACAATATAGATGCTCTTGTCTCGATGGATTTGAAGGAGACGGGGTTCAAACATGTGAATTCAGTAAGTCATATTGACAACCATTATCAGGAAACAAAGTACTAGTAATCAAACTACCAATCACACTGCAAATGCTATGGTAACAATCCACTTACATTTCGTTTAATAATAGATGAAGGCATATGCATTGCACATGGCGATCCGCATTACGTCACCTTCGATAATGTAGCGTACGATTTCCAAGGCGTTTGCTCTTACGTACTAATGAAGAACTGCCGTGATGTGTCGTATCACCCATCCATTGAAGTGATCGTCGAGAATTACAAACTGGATCGAAGCCATGGCGTATCTTGGACATATTCAGTTACAATTAATTTGTACAGTACGGTAAATATTTTTTTTTCATTGTTTGAGGATATTTCTGTAGGTAAATGAATATGTGGAATAATGCTTGGTGCCTACAATATCTATTTCACGACTGAAATGCACACGCTATTATGCGAATTGTTATTGACTATATGTTTTGTGTTTTCCAATTGTTGTCACAGGTGATCGAATTATTGCAAGACGGCGAGGTGTTTATTAACGGTACAAGAGTGATATTGCCATTTGAGACAGAGGACGGTGTCGAGGTATTCTTCACAGGGCGATATGTGGTAAGTGGTTAAATTCCCACGCATAAGTGGCATATAAATAAAGGCAAGAGCCAGGATTATAATATTCCAGTTGACATATAATTTATGCGAATAGCCTAAATATGCACTGCAACATGGATGATGAAGTAGATTTTTTATGATTTATTCATTTTCAGCGATTGTTGTCAGGATTTGGTCCGAAAATAACTTGGGACACTCAGAACATGGTAGCTGTAAACGTACCGCAGGAGTATAGAAACGCAACATGCGGTTTGTGTGGCAATTTTGACGGTGATGATAACAATGACTTTATAGGACCCGAGTTCACATTGGTAGGTACAATGGATTGTGCTGAAGCAGATGCACATGATTAGGTGCAATGAAATGTGTACCGGTTTGGTTCACACACTAGGTATACCCAGTCACTAGCGAGGTTTTTTTTATGTTGATTAACTAATACATTTAGTTTCAGCTTTAAGATATTTGTCGATCTACTGTAATGGCAGGATTTAGGTTTCAGAATGTCATTGTCTCCTGCAAAACAGACACAAATCCAATAATAAGGTAAGTGTGCTATTGTTAACACTTCAAGTGGATTTGTGTCTGGACCAAAGGCACATCAGTGGTCAGCGATGCTTACAGATGCTTGAAGAGCTGTACTGGAAATCGTAAGAATACCATGATGGAATGCAGATATACAGATGATTATTAGCGGTAAGTTTGATGTACGTACTTAATATCAGTTAACGGCAGTGCCTGAAAAGAAAAACTAGAGTCATATTTGGGAAATATATTGAGTTAATCTTCTATCAGTTGCACTTTTCTTTTTAAAATTGCGTCATGTTATTTTTTTACAGGGAACCTGACAGTGGCGTAGGACTGATATTATCTATGGAATGAGGTAATTGAAATTAACACGAATTTTTAAATTCTGTAATTGTGTATATTGTCGCATGTGTTACCTATACATGTGAAAACAATACAAGCATATGAGCCTTTGTTTCTTTTAATAGATTTAAAGCAAGATTATTTGAAAATATAAAATGGTTTGTAGATCATCACCAGGTAAGTACCACTTCTGTAGCATTTGTTGGCCAATCTTTACTTCATATTAAGATACTGACCAGGGGAAATCTACGTAATTAATTAATATAACTTCAGGAATATTCAACAATAGCATTGCATGGTCACCATGTATATCATACATATTCTGAAAGATTGCTTAAGGGAAAACAATGATGCTTATATTTCGAGGAATCGTCTGAACAACTTAGACACAACAACTTTCACAAACAATTTCGTAATTGTTTGCGACTAGTTTATGGTGAGTCTCGGATCATTATATCTGCATTTTCTTGCGTAAAACAGAATGACATTTGAAATTGTCACTTTTTTTAGATTACCCATGGCATTGGCCGCTCAGCAATGTTAATAACAAAAAATGTGATGTAATAGTATGTGTTATTATGAAGAGTTCCCTGGTCAATACTTATTGATTATTAACAATCAAATTTAACACCACACATTTTAGGTTGCATAGTGCACAGTAAGATTCCTTACGTAGTTCTAAACAAAGCACTTAGTCAACAAGTTATGTTAATGCATGCTTCCCAAGAGTCACAATATCAATCCATGGTTACACAGTGTCTATATTAGCTTGAAGTGTTTACAATGACAAATATAAAAATATATGGTATGTACTAAGTATGCTATATTGTTTGTATAATCTACTAACTAATTAAAACCAATCAAAAATAAAATGTTTGTCTAAAGTTTGAATAACAATAAATGTTATATACTAAGTATATAAGTATGTGTTTGTTAGATATATACTAACTAAGAAAATACAATAACTAATAAAAAATAACACATTTGACAAAAGTTTTCGAATATTAATAAATGTTATATTGTAAGTACACCATGTGTTTGTTTGATATACACTAACTAATTAAATATAATAAAATAAAATAACCAATAAAAAATGGCAAAAGAATAATACAACAATAAACGGTACTTCATAGAAATACAATATGGTTTGTCTTACATATTAACTAATTAATACAAAATAATACTCAATCAATAAATAAATCTCTCATTGACTAAAGTTTGAATAATACAACGATAAATGATATATACATTCAAACCTGTGTACAGCGACCACTCGAGCTACTTTGTTAAAATGTTAAAATTTATATAGAGGTTGGATTATTTTTTATGAATGACGAACTCATATATTTGACGTAGTATTTGTTCAGAAAAATAATGAGATGGTACTTTTACATTAATTTGAGTAGATCAAAACAAAATCAAATAAAAATTGTTTAATAAACTCTAAAGAAAGTCGAGTCGACAGAAATATTGATGGATGGTCACATAAGACTGGTGGTTTTTATACGCACGTTTGACTGCACTATGTATACAATGTTTTGAAATACTAACTGAATAATATAATAACCAAACTGAAAATAACACAATTGACTAATAATTGATTAATACAACAATAAATGGTACGTACTAAGAATACACTATTGATTGTTTGAAATACTAACTGAATAATATAACCAGTCTAAAAATAACTCAATTGCCTAATAATTGATTAATATGTTTGACCAATGTTCGAATAATAATCAATAAATGGTACGTATTAAGAATACCATATATTTGGTTCGATATACCAACTAATAAATACAATAATATAATATTTTATCTTTAATTGATGATATGATTGCATTTTACAGGGACACTTTCTTTGCTTGCACCTCCCGATGCAATATAAGTAAGATATACACGTAGAAACCTCGCTGGTGCTGGGTAGATCACTAGCTATTGATTCCGTTGCAGTACAATATCATATTTTAGATAAATATTATTTACTTTCTATCGAAGATACACGAGCTAAATTAGACCTTATATATTCAAAATGGGTATTTAAGTAATAGTTTGTGATATTGTTATTGGCATAATGTAACTCTCTGTTTCAAACATGTATTATGGATGCAACTACTACCTATTATTATACATCTGTCACTGTAACGCCATATGTAAAACAGCGTGCCGTAATTTTACGGTATGTTACCGGGTATTTTCATCCTACCATATTAGGAAATTTGAATTCCAAATATGAAATGATTACGCGCGTAAGCGTCCTCTAATAATAAAAACAAACATGGCTGCAGCCATCAGAGGTTGACTGGATTCAACACAAAGGAGTTTGCTGATTCGGTTCTAAACATTTTGGATTTCGGTATTCCCATGGTGTATCCTTGTAAGGAAAAGATGTATAATAATAAGGTTATTAAGATAATACCTCAAAGTATGCACTCAGACAGTACGCCGCGCATCGGTCGATACTCCAGCTGTGTTGTCTTCGTGCATACTTTGAGGTATTCTCGTAATAACCTCATATATTATGTTTACAAGTTTAGCAGTATTTACTGCAACGATGATAGAATATCGTGTGCCGTTTTCTGTGCTAACTGCGCGAATACTTTATTGCATTATTTGTTGTGTATGCGTCAACTATGCGCCTTGCATAGAACTTCATACGAATCACGTGACATAGCGGTAAATAATAACTCACAAAGACGGTCTTGATAATGTGTTTTTCGCAAGTTTGACCGTGTACATGCAACGCGATATTTTCCTCTTCCTTGTACCATCACATGTCACGTAGTATAGTAGATAATAACTAATTGATATACAACAATTGCCACAGATTGAAGATGTAACGGAATTCGGGGACAGTTGGTTGTACAATAGTGAGATATGTGATGTACAAACAGATCCAGTTGAACCGTGTGATGATAGACAACAGGAAGAACTTACTTCTATTGTTAGTACGTGTAGTATTATTTCGGATTCAACAGGTAAGTTCGAATATGACATCGATAGTTTGATATCTTATGCTACTGAGCAAAAAAGTCAATCAGGAGATTTAATTTGAGATATGTTCACTAAAATCAACATGTTTTATAACTTTTATTATATACGTCGTGTTCGATGTGGATTTCACGTGGTGTATACAACGCATACATTATACATATGCAGTGTTATGCTCATAAACAATTTCTAATACCTATCACTCAAATACAAACTTTCATACTTACAGGACCTTTTCGTCAATGCCATTCACACATTGATTACGCACGCCAGAACGATAGCTGTGTGTATGACTACTGTGCAACATATCCGGTTAATTACACAGTGTGTGAAAATTTTGAGGTTCTTGCATATTCATGTATGCAGCTAAACATTGAGGTATATCCATGGAGGACAGAAACATTCTGCCGTAAGTGCTTGCAATCTAGATGGTAGTGTATACAGTTTTATAAGACATACATTTGGTATTTCTGGTATGCTTTATATTCTATTTGTCTTGTTATATTGGAAATATAATATATATCATATTGTTTTCTTGTAGCTTATACATGTCCGGCCAATTCTGAGTATAGTATGTGCGTTAACTTGTGTGAACCAACCTGTGATGATCCAACTAGACGTACGTGTGGAGGACTATGTGTAGAAGGCTGTCAGTGTTCGAAAGGATTTGTTCGTCAGGGAAGAGAATGTATTGCAATAGATCAGTGCGGTTGTTTGGACGGCGGCGTATTTCATAGGGTAAACGTCAACACATGATTCTCCGTTATCATTGTATATATATATATATATATACTATATAAGATGTATTAGTCGAGTGTAGTGATTTTATTTGTTTGTTTTTACGGTTTGGATCACCATCAATACACAGGTTTAAATTTAGTAAATAATCAAGGATGCATTCAGAATTGATTATATTAATTCAGCCAACTCAATTCAGACCTTCACAAAATTCGTGAACAATTTCAAATTTACGCTACTCGAACAGGTTTAAGTTGAGGGAATTAAAATTCAGTTTTAATTTGAATATTATGTGCATATATTTATATTGACAATTATGAATAGACATAACATTGCCGCTAAGACATTCGCTAAAAAAGCTTTTTAGACTATAAAATTCAAAAAAATTAAGGAAAAGACAAAAAGATTGCTTTAGTATAACACCCTTCTACAAAATTATTTCATTAGGCAATATCCAACCAGTAAGTTACAATTGAAACAGTAATATTTAAGTACCAGGAGAATCATTGTTTGGAAGTATTATTATTATTATTGTTGTTGATAACTATATGTTTCGTTATTTTTTTCAAATCTAATATTTTCAGCCGGACACGACATTCATACGTGAAGGATGTTTGGAAAAATGTTCATGTTCTACTCATAGAATAATAACATGTGACACGCTGCATTGTAACAAAAATGCTTACTGTGGATTTCAAAATGGACTCAATTATGGTTGCCATTGCAAAGACGGTTATAACGGAGATGGTACAGTGAGCTGTTCGAAATGTAATTCTTATTTTCGTTATTACGATGAATAAAGTTACATCCAAATGGTCCCGATTTATTATGGTTCTAAGACACATTTACGAGTCTCAGACCACGTAACTGTATAGCAATTCGTTTTATAGCTGCATAGACATAAAAATATATCAATGTGCAAACAAGTTAGATGAAAATATATTTTAAATTATTTACCCACTTGTGGTCATTATATTATTTTGATTTTAAATTTCTAGATTTCACATTGAAAATAGACTGTGTATGTGCGTATCATTATTTTTAGAAGAGAAACCCTTACAAGCATCGTTTTTCTTGTTGTTCCATTAACGTCGTCACATCTCATCAATTGTTATCCTTAACTATTTTTAGCATATTCAGAGTGCGTAATATATGGTGATCCACATTATAGCACATTTGATGGTAGGACATATGACTTCCAAGGAGAATGTGAATATACGTTGTCCACTTCTGCATGCGGAGATATTCAATTTCTACCTGTTTACAGTGTTGTTGCAAACAACCAGAAAATCAAGCCAAGTGACAGCGTCAGTTATACCAGAGAAGTTTATGTCATAGTTGAAGATGTGGTGAGTTGCTATTTACTTCTAGCACACATACTTCGACAATGCCCTTTTTTATCACTACTTTTCATAGCATTTATTGCGTAATCCAGTCCATACTCTGATGTTATTCTCTTGCTTGGCGTAGATTTATTTACTCCCCCATCTACTCTAACGTCATTATTGATAAAATGAAACACATGTATCGTCTTTT